CCTCCAAAGCGGGGGTTTCCCCGCCCCCCGGCCCGATTTGGCAGCCCTATGACCAAAGCTCCCTCTAAGCTGTGGAGTCTTGTGAGCTACTGGCATAGAAGTTGTAAGTGAGTGATTTGCTACTGCATAAATTAGTTTGCTCTGGAGCCATCCTTTGTGAGCTAAGACAAAAATGTGTGAGCTGGAGGCTAAAAAACTGTGAGTCAGCTCACACTTAACTCAGCTTAGAGGGAACGCTGAGTGACTGAGGGGAACCTCCACATTCAGAGGCACTAATCCTATGAATCTCAGAGCCAGAAGGCAACATCAGGGGAAGACCTTGGCCTCTATGCCTGGTTGCTGGCCGTCCAGAGGAACTGATTGGCCACTGTGTGAGACAGGATGCTGGACTAGATGGACTGTTGGTCTGATCCAGCAGGGCTCTTCTGATGTTCTTATGAAGGCCTCGGCTTCTATGCCCTGTTGGCCCTCCAGAGGAACTGGTTGGCCACTGTGAGAGAGAGGATGCTGGACTAAATGGACCATTGGTCTGATCCAGCAGGGCTCTTCTTATATATATTTTTTGAAGGCCTCGGCCTCTCTGCCCTGTTGCTGGCCCTCCAGAGGAACTGGCTGGCCACTGTGTGAGACAGGATGCTGGACTAGAGGGACCACTGGTCTGATCCAGCAGGGCTCTTCTGATGTTCTTATGAAGTCCCCAGCTTCTATGCCCTGTTGGCCCTGCAGAGCAACTGGTTGGCCACTGTGTGGGACAGGTTGCTGGACTAGATGGACCATTGTTCTGATCCAGCTGGGCTCTTCTGATGTTCTTATGAAGTCCTCGGCTTCTATGCCCTGTTGGCCCTGCAGAGCAACTGGTTGGCCACTGTGTGGGACAGGATGCTGGACTAGATGGACTGTCGGTTTGATCCAGCAGGGCTCTTCTGATGTCCTTATGTTATATCGTATTCTTTTGAAGAAAATTCTGGGGCCTACTTTTCTCACTCTCTAATAGTTTTCTGGACAGAACAGGTGCATATGCTAGGGTTGCCACCTTCCCGGTGGGGCCTGGAGATCTCCCAGAATTACAACTCATCTGCAGGATACAGAGATTGGTTCCCCTGGAGAAAATGGCTGCTCTGCTGGGGGGGGGTGCGTTTCCATGGCAGCACGCCCCTGCTGAGCTGCCTCCCCTCCTCAAACTCCACCATCCCCAGGCTCCACCTCCAGAGCTCCAGGAATTTCCCAACTCTGGTTACCAACCTCCAGGTGAGGCCTGTAGTTCTCCTGGAATTATAACTGGTCTCCAGACTACCGGGATCAGTTCTAGTGGCGAAAATGGCTGCAGTGGAAGGTGGCACTATACCTGGCTGATGTCCCTCTCCAGGCTCTCTCTGGACTTGGCGTCTCTACTGATTGCTCAAACACTGCATTTCAAAAGATTTGCCAATTATTCCCAGGCCCAGGAATCCCATTTACTTTTTATCCTGCCACCAAACACTCAACTCCTCGAACGCTTACAGTTTGCCCTCTAGAGTATCATGGTGGCATGTGTTCTGCCCCCACCTTTCTTCACGTCTATCCCTGGAGAATCTCCATTCCCCTGGGAGCAATGGAAGTCTTGCTTCAGTTGTTGTTGTTCAGTCGAACAGTCGAGTCCAACTCTTCGCGACCCCATGGACCAGATCCCGCCAGGCCTTCCTGTCTTCTGCCGTCCTCTGAAGTTGGCTCAATTTCATGTTCGTTGCATCTATGACCACTGTCTAACCATCTCATCCTTTGCCGTCCCAGTCTTCTTTGACCTTCAATCTTTCCCAGCATCAGGGTCTACTCCAGTGAGTGCTCCCTTCTCATTGGGTGGCCAAAGTATTGGAGCTTCAGTTTCCTTATCTGGCCTTCCAGGGAACAGTCAGGGTTGATTTCTTTTAGGATTGACTGATTTGATCTTCTTGCAGTCGAAGGGACTCTCAAGAGTCTTCTCCAGCACCATAGTCTTCAGTAATCACTGGTTAACTGTAGAAATGACTGACCTTACTCCAGAAAGGGGAAAGACTACTATCTGTGCTCTTGTTCATCATTTTAAGCCAGTTATTAAATGTTGCATCAGAACACTTCAAGTCATATTCACGCTCACAGTTGCAGCAACATGGGCCAATTGATCTAGCAGCACTGTGGGAATGCATGAATACATGAAGGTCAGTGTTCCCTCTAAGCTGTGCTAGGGGGCGCTGGCACACAAAGTTTTAGCTGGCTGCTCACAAATTTCAACTTCCTGCCCACAAGTTGTTTTTCCTCCTCCATTGGAAACAATCGAGGACGGGGGCACCCCCTTCTGGGGCCCATGAAATTGAACCCCCTAATCCAATCTTTTTGAAACTTGGAGGATCTTTTGAGGAGGGGCACCAGCAGCTATGCTGAAAATCTGAAGCCCCTATCTCAAAACAAATCCCCTCAGAGCCTCAGTTACCCCCAGATCAATTCTCCATTATAGCCTATGGGCCCCATTGACTATAATGGTCCCCATGGGCTATAATGGAGCAGGGAAAAAATCAATATGATCTAAAAGCTGCCTTGACTCACAGGGAAAAGTAGTTTGGGCAGGTTGATAACATTTAAGCGATTTCCTGTTTGTTAGGTTAGGCAGGGTTCTGACAGTGATTGTTCCACCTCTGTTATACTTGACCTGTAAATTTGTCATGTTTCACTTTTAAAAAAACCCAAAGTAGACTGAAAGAGTCCCCCCCCATTGCAGTGTACCCACTAAGCCGAGTTAGTGTGAGCTAGCTCACAGTTTTTTATCCTCTGGCTCACACATTTTTGTCTTAGCTCAGGAAGGAGGGCTCCAAAGTAAACTAATTTATGCAGCAGCCAAAACGCGTGCTCACAACTTAATGCCAGGAGTTCACAAAGTAGAATTTTTGCTCGCAAGACTCCACAGCTTAGAGGGAGCATTGGTGTTGATCTGTTTTCTATGGCTCAGCACAAGGTGACGATCCAAGGCCATGTCTACCAATTTAGTGGACTGGGGTGGGTAGGCCTGTTCTCCGGAGGCCAGGTCTACCAATATAGTGGAATGCGGCAGATAGACCCATTCACCAGAGGCCTGATCTACCCCCATACAGGACAACATTTTCTGTAATAAAATTTGACTTAATTCTGTGTTCTCTTATAACGTTTAAATTATTCTAAAAAATATAGCTTAAATATAGTTTAAAATAATTCATTCTGAGATTTTTACAAGGTTATGGAAATAATCTTCTAAGAAACTTATTTATATGATAGCCAAATGTAGACTCACTCACAACTTTAATGCTACTAGGTTTTTTCACTCACAAGGTAGAATTTTTGTTCACAACACTGTGGAGCTTAGAGGGAACGTTGAGAGGTACTCTATACTGAATCAGACCCTTGGTCCATCAAGATCAGTACTGTCTACTCAGACCAGGGGTCATTTCGTAGAAAAAGAGGTGCAGGCGCTCATTAACATAACTCATTAGCATAACTTATTTGCATATGCCACATCCCCGGACATCACCGGAAGC